TCGGATATGGATTATGCTGATCAGATCCGAATAAAATTATATATATATAATTATTTATCAATAATTTTACATATGTGTGTATATATATATATATATATATCAATACTCCTATTAGATTTGCAAAAAAAAAAAAAAAAAAAAATCATAATATGTGTTTTCATCCACAAACTAATAAATCTCCTATTATACATACTAATAATATCATACTCTTTATCCATTAACAAAGAGTAAACAATTTTTTTTTTTTTTTCTTTTCCTTTCATATTTTACTTATGTTTTGTTTTATATCTTTTTTTATAATGATTTAAAAAAAAAAAAAAATCTCTTTTGACATTAATTTAAATTTTTTTCTTTTTTTTTTTTTTATAAAAAAAATTACATTTTTATCTAATCGAATTGAATTATCGGATCAAATATCTATTTATTAACAAATCTGATTCAAATTAACTTACAAAATATCCGTCGAATTATCATATCGGATTGACTAGAATACTTATCAAAATCGAATCTAATTTGATCTGATCTGATCCGGTCCGAATTCGATCCGTATCTAGTCTAACTTGAAACATATCATAAGTCTTCCACTGGTATTTTAAGTCTAAGTCATTAACTTAAAATATGTTTTTCTATATAAAAATTATCTTGGTGAGGGATGGACGCACCTCCCCCAAGTGACGTAAAATATCGTTTTCTTTTAGCATTTGTAATATTTTATATTTTTTTAATAAAATGGCCCCCCCTTAAATTCTCCATTTCTAAAGTTGTTCCATTAGCTTCAATTGATATATATATATATATAATTTAGTGTATATAATTTTAATTCATTTTTTTTACAAAATGTCCCTATAAAATTCCCCTTTCTTAAAATTTCTCTTAACTATTTTTTTCTTTTCTTTTTTACCTGTTTGCTTTTTCAAATTTCTTTGATACCTTTAAAAAAGTTGCATACCCTAATTTAATCTCCTATTTCATGTTCTTTCATTTTTCATTTTTTTTTTCTTTTTAATTTTTTATTCTTGCACTCATATTCGATGTATCTGCAATAACATATTTTATTTAAATTTCACTATAATTTTATGAACTGTTCATTTTTTATAATTTTAAACTTTTTTACTATATATATATATATATATTTACTATAATGACATTTATAGTATTTGAATTTTAATTAGTGAAATTTTATTTTTTGACTTACTCTTTTGCTATATATATATATATATATATATATATATATATATATGTATATGTTATGAAATAAGGATCCAATAAGAGTTTACGAGAACAAGAGAAAAATAAATGACAAGAAAATAAATAGGTACACACACAAACGAGACAAGAATTTACGTGGTTCGGCTATGCCTACATTCACGGGGAGAAGACAGAACAATATTTCACTATAAAAATAAAGAGAGATAAAGAGATATAAGGCAAAGTGATTCACACCCAAAACCCAATTACACCCACAAGCTCTCCCACTCTAACTGATATTACAAAAATGCTCAAACTGAAGATGATCTTGGATGATTTGGAATGCCATGGTCATATGCTATTTATAGTCAAGAAAACATCAATATATCTTATTCATCGAGTGTACTTGTTGTCCACGAATAAAACTGCCACTTGGTGACCACACATGCGCAGCTTGTTGATTACACTTCTTAGCTGCTAAGGTGTTGAGATAAGTGGTGATGAAAAATGCTTGTTGATGACACAAATTAGTGGTTCCCAATTGAAGTATGCAATCTCAATTTGAGCCATATATTCAACAGTATACATAAATGCCGAAATGAATTAAATGGGCCATTGAGCCCTTGAATGAAATGGGTCCCTGTAACAAGCTAGTAACAACATTAACCTTTAGCAAATTAAATTACATAGAAATGATGGTCCGGTGGCCAATGTGTTGTTTGATTTGTATCTGAATGTTTTAAAACAGAAAACATATTCATTCTTTTGACTGAAAAAGTCTACTAATCAAACTTCTGTTTGCCCGCCCATTAAATTTCTTACATGGTCCTTCCTAATTAATCCTGACCTACTCTGCATGACACATGTTTTTTTCGTACCATCACTGGGGTTGTGCCTTGTAGCTCAAAGTACTGAGCGAGTCTCACAATGTGAGGTGAGTGTTACTGTTTTCGTTTTCGAGTCAACCCTTCTCCCTTCTTGACAAAGTAATAATATTATGAGATCTTTCTCGTAACGATCTTTACGAGTTTTTTTACTTTTTTTTGGTCATGATCATTTATAAAGAATAACACTTCTATGTTCATAGGTCAGTAGAAATTTCATATTTACTATTAATATGACGCAATAACAAAGTGTCAAGTGTCCCTATAATGTTAAAAAAAAAATTAATAAAAGATTTAAAAAGTTATTTGGGTTAAATCCAGTAGGATCCAAATCAAACCCATATCTAATTATCTCTTTCCCATTCTACTCTATTGCCTTAATTTCTAAGCCTTAAGGAATTACAACTACAAGTATCTTGCTCAAATCAAATCCATGAAATGAATCGGATTAGGATTTTCGATTATGGGTGATAAGATTTCATGTGTAAACTAATATATATATATATTGATTTTGTTCTTTTGAAGCGTGGCTTGTGTTGTTTAGCCCTCCGTTCCCTTCTTGTTGAAAAAAAAAAAAAAATGTTTGTGTAAAGATAGATGCTTGCACTTGTTAATGGATGTCTTGTTATAATTAATCAACCAAAAAGAATTCTTAAGAAAACAAATTTTATTTTTTTACTAAATCATGAATAAATACTTTCTTTTATTTATTTGAATAATGTTAATAAGTCTATTTTAATGCAAATACTCTAGCAGGGAGTGGTTAGGTTTACAATTGAACTCTTAAGTCTCACCATTATAAAAAAAATTAATCCAATTCCTTCTACATAATTTTTTTGGGGTTTGATTTGGATTTTATAAGAAAGAGAAATAATCAAATTAGGATTTGATTCAGATTTTATTGGGCTTAACCCAAATAACTTTTCAAATCTTTTATTTTTTATTGGAGAGACACTTGTTACTTTATTATCTTGCCACATAGGTGGTAAGTATGAAGTTCCTACTCACCGGTGAGTAGGCAAGTATTGTCCATTTATAAATATAGAGGCGAGAGTTTAACCGTTCGAAAGATGATTGTATAAAGATTACATAATTAAAATTTCATACCAAAATTCATTTACAGTACATTACTTGAAACAATCAAAGTTTTACACACTCTTTATTTTGATCAAATTATACTATTAACTTTGACCGTTTCGTATATTTTTTAATTGTATTTTGAACTGATCTATTTACGGTGAGATGACTTTAATATTGACTACGTGATATTTTGTGCGTTATTATTATTATTTTTTTAAATATGTTAATTTAAAGGAGAGTTCTTGAAATTTTCATAAGGTAGACTTTATAGTAATATATATCAAAATATTATACCGTAAAGTACATGCATGTGTTTGGATTTGGATCAACAATCTGACTCTTACTAAGAAAAGGAAAATACCATGAACCAACAAGGTGTGAGACTGTGAATTGATGAGTTAGAGGGACTTTGATATTCAAATATTGGCGTGTACTTTTCTTCAATGTTTAATTCATCTGATGAGGCTATTTCATTTCTTTCATGTTTCTTCTTATTTTCTTGGATGTTTCCCTCCACACATCCATTGGATTGCACCAAAAACCGAGGACGAGCTAAGAGAATGTCATATGGAGTACTACTAGTATTAAATATGGAAATACCATACCTTAGTATTTAAATTTGAGTAATGACAGTTGAATAGAAGAATTAGGTTAAATTTATTATATTTAATTGGTCAATGTATGTCAAATATAAAAAAGTGAGATTCATCACTTTCTTATCTTATACGTTAATGACCAATAATATTTAATAAGTCTAACAATTCTTATTATTTAAATTTAAAGACAGTATTTGTTAGATTTGTAACTAATAGGCCCCTCCCTACCGAGAATTAGAATACTTAAAAAGAAGGAAAAAAAAGTAATACTTCAAAGAAAAAAAAAAAAAAAAATTTGTGCCGGCCCCATCATATCATATAAATGATCTACACATATGCTATTTTCAAACGAAAATGATTGTTAAGACCACGGGGAATTCATATGGGGGGATGGTAATTTATATAGAGGGATTTTTTCTTAATTTTAGTGGGGGCAATTTCAAATTTTAATGGATATAAATGCAAACAAAATATAAGTTTATAGGTATAAAATATAATAATAAAAAATTTCATTGGGAGCACATGCCCCCACTGATCCCTTCACAAATCCGTGCCTAGTTAACACCAAATAAATAGGCAACTGAAATGAGTTTTTATTTTTATTTTTTTACCTCTGACGCGTTTTTGTGATATTTCAATCAAGCGTTTCGATTGTTTGTCACGATTTTTCTCGCATGATTCTTTTTCAAAGATTCTTATCACATTAATTATAACATTTAATTTCATGATAGCTTAGGGGGCTATGATCAGGAAGAATTTAAATTTATAGATGAGATTATGATAGATAAATGGGGATTAGGTACAGACATGTTCATCAATGCCGTGTACTTGTATGAAAACACGCCATATATACAAGATCTTGAAAGTACAGGGAAATTCAACAACCCTGTTAATTAACAAGCTTAAGAATCCATATATGAATGGGAGGAAATTTCCCCACTATAACTAACCAATTTCACATGATACTACAATAATACATTAAAGTATTAGCGAGAGAAATGGTCATATTTCACATAATACTACAATAATACATAAAGTATTGGCAAAAGAAATGGTCATCATTAATAACTCAACTTTCACTTCTCTCTCTCTCTATCTCTTTCCATCTTTTTCTCTCTCCAACTCTTCAAGTCAATTCACGTGCCAGGTCTTATAACCAGCTCATGCACTACTTCTAGCTCTATAAATCCACATCCATTTACGTTCAAAGACAATATCTCTCTTAAGCAAAAGTCTCAAACACATACTCAACTATGGTGTTGTTCTCTAAAATTGGCATTGTCGGTGCTGGCATAAGCGGTATTTCCGCGGCTAAACAGCTGGCCAAACACCACCCAGTGGTGTTTGAGGCTACCGACTGCCTTGGAGGGGTCTGGAAACATTCTTCTTTCAAGTCCACTAAGCTTCAGACCCCTCGTTGTGACTATGAGTTTTCGGATTATCCTTGGCCTAATAGGGATAATTCCAGTTTTCCATCTAATTTAGAGATATTGGAATACTTATATTCTTATGCTACCTACTTTGATTTGCTCAAGTTTGTCAATTTCAACTCAAAGGTGGTAGAAATCCGGTTTGTTGGTGATCGTGAAACCGCCGATCTTGGTGGTAAACCGGGGGAATATGCAACTTTGCTGGCCGGCCAGCCGGCATGGGAGGTTGCTGTCCTGGACAATCAATCTGAGACCATTCAGGTCATTTTTAAATTGTCAAGCTAGCTAAAAGAATTGCTTCAAAAACTTCTTTTTCATGCATGCATCATATTTTAGGTCAAAAAATAAATGAATTTTCACTTTATGCATGTGATATCTATTTCTTTTAATTATAATAACAAAGTTATTATGGTGCATGATAACGTTAATTAGGGTTTACAAAAATTTGTTCATCTGTAAAATAAAATCCGAATTCTTCCCCTGATTTAAAAATAAGCCTAGCTTAGTAGCTTGTTAAAAAGTTACTATGATTTGATTTCCTTGATTATGTATTATATATATATATATATATATATATATATATATATATATGAATATTTTGTTGAGGCTGTTTCTGATTTTTTGTTATTCCTTTTTATTTATTGCAGTGGTATGCCTTTGAATTTCTTGTGGTTTGCACTGGGAAGTATGGTGACATACCAAAAATACCAGCTTTTCCCCACAACAGAGGTCCTGAAATATTTCAAGGACAGGTTCTGCATACTCTTGATTACAGCAAACTCAACGAAGAGGAAGCTACACAACTATTCAGAGGAAAGAAGGTTGTAGTCGTTGGCTACAAGAAATCAGCTATCGATTTAGCTGTTGAATCCGCAGAAGCAAACCAAGGTAAAAATAAATAAAGCAAACACGCGCAGATACACACACAAGCTGCACATACAAGTCTTGCAACATTAATTTTGAAATTTATAACATAAAAAATTCTCTAGAATTTTCTTCTCATTGACATATATGTATTCATGTATTTACTTTGATAATAGCAGGATGCATGCCTCACCATGGACATACAAGGATTTAATTATGATGATCATTAGGTAGCTTGCATGAGTGTTGTCTGTGTGTTTTGAACAAGCGAAATTTACTGTTTTGTTATGATTGGTAGCACCACATATATAGGTTGCTTAGACTTGGAATTCGATGAAGTTCAGTTAAAATAGTGAATTAAATTTTCTCTCTTTTCTGCATATACATGTTTAATATTGTTTTATATCTACTCTAATGCCAATATAAATCCATATTTATACAAATACATCTTTCATTAGGATTATATTATCAATACAAAATTTAAATCCTACATTCGTTAGCAATTGTTTCCTTAAGGTTTGCATTTTATATGCATAACTATTAACTTATGCATACTAATATGTTCATAAAAGCAACTAAGATGATCAGTAACTTAACAGTCTTGTCTTCTTTTAAATTAAAAAAAGTAGAGGTTAAAAGTCTTCTTTTACTCATTATTAATATATATATTACAGTAGTTATATTTACTTACACACAAGCTCCACTAGCTTTGATGGTAAAATTAATGGAAATCTTGGTCCAATATGTATATACTTACTATATATGATTTTCGACAGCGTGAGAGGATATCTGACTGCTGTTTAATCTGTAATTTAATAATATTTATCTTAGTAAATGTCAGTGAGTTTCACTGTCTTTTCTGGGAAAAGTAGGTGTAGTTTTGGTTCCAAAAGAAAACAGTTATAAATTCCTACGTTTTTTCAACCGTTGTGAACGTAAAAATATGCATGGTCTTTTGAATTCTCAAAAGTCAAAGCTCATACAGAGACGCGATGCTTTGACTTGCGGAGGTAACACACGTTTTCAGTATTTTCTAAATGCACGTACTGTTTGACTTTGACTTTAGAAGAAGACAATTCACATGATGTACATAAAAGGAAAGAAAGAAGTTACTATTTTTGCACTATATACAAGTGGGTAAAGTACCGACCACTATATGAAATTTGACCAAAAAAAAAAAAAAAAAAAAGACACTCAGATAAAATTTACTTATTTTTTTAGACAAAAACACCTCTTAAAAGTTTAAAAATCGATAAAGATAGACCTTTACATGAAAAATTGACCACTTTACAATTTAATAAATTAGATTAATCTATCCTCATGAATAATTTATGCATAAAAAAGAAGTAACCAAAAAAAAAAAAAAATTATATTGTTCACTTTTTTTTTTTTTTTTTGTTATTTACTTTATAAATGTCCCATCTTCTTAAAGATGTAGACGTCTAAAATGATTTTTTTATTCCATACATATATTTCAAATAAATTATATTTTTTTATTACTTCTTTTCTTTTTCTTTTTTATTTTTAAATTAAGATGTTTAATTCTTTCATTTAAAAAAACTAAACCAATCTTTTTTCCTTAAAAATAAAAAATATGGTACCAGTATAACTTTATGCATCTTAAATTATATATCAAATATTATGCATTTCCCAACATAAAAGGGGAAAAAAACAATAAAACAAAGGGGAAAAAAAAAAAAAAAACAAAGGCATGCATAAAGTTATACTGGTAACTATTTTATTTTATGTTGGGAAACGCATAATATTTTATATATAATTTAAGATGCTTAAAGTTATACTGGTATCATATTTTTTATTTTTAAGGAAAATAGATTAGTTTGATTTTTACTTATAAAATTGAAAAAAAGAAGAAGAATAGAAATAATAATAAAATATAATTTATTTGAAATATATGTATTGAATCAAAAAATCATTTTAAATGTTTACATTTTTAAGAAGTTGTGGGACATTTATAAAGTAAATAACAAAAAAAAAAAAAAAAAACAGGTGAACAATATAAAGTTTTTTTTTTTTTTTTTACTTTTTTTTTTTATGTATAAATTATTCATGAGGGTAGATTGGTTCAATTTATTAAATTGTAAAGTTAAAAAAATCTTATAAACGGTAAAATGGTAATTTGGTCAATTTTTTATGTAAAAGGGTGTCTTTGTCTATTTTTGAACCATCAGGAATATTTTTGTCCAAAAAATAAATAATTTTTTTCTGAATATTTTTTTTTGTCAAATCTCAAAAAGTGTGATTGTACTGTACCCATACAAGTATAACCCAACAAGTTATTTGTTTTTATTACGCCGACAATGTTTGAAAATTCAATATCGTGTGCCCAACAAATATGTACCTGTGGGCATAAATTCAACACACAAACTCTCGTGACCTTGAAAAACTAGCAGCTAACGTGGATGGGTAACGACCGTCAGATGATTTTTTGTTTACCCCAAAAGTAAAAGTGTACACCAATAAAAACATACAATCTTGTAGAGATATAAAATAAATAAATAAATATTTTTTTTTGGTAAATAGATAAATAAATAAAATTGATAGTTTTTTATATGGTTGGTTATTTTCATTTTTGATTTTGGGAAAGTTTTGTTAATGAGAGAATTGATCAATTTATAAAGATTGTGATGATTTTAATTGGAATCTCTTGAAGGGTTGGATGTTCAACCTTGTACTATGGTGATAAGGACCCTGCATTGGACTGTACCACATTACTCGATTTGGGGGTTGCCATTTTATTTGTTCTATTCAACAAGATTTTCTCAGTTCCTCCATGAAAGACCAAACCAAGGCTTCCTCAGGACCCTCCTTTGCCACCTATTGTCTCCTGCAGTAAGTGTGCATTTCCTAAAGGAAAATAAGTATTCCGACAATCGAACTAATCCGACTGTTTCTATATGATTAGAGGTTGACGTCATGATGACATCACACCTATGAGATAAAAACAGCCGAATTAGTCAGATTGTCGGACTCCAATGAGTTGATATTATAGAGAGTTCATAATTAATTGTTATTATCATAATGGTTCTTGACAGAAAAGAGCTATGTCAAAGATTATTGAGTCCTATTTGGTGTGGAAGCTTCCATTGGAGAAGTATGGATTGAAACCAGATCACCCATTTGAGGAAGATTATGCTTCTTGTCAAATGGCTATCTTGCCGGAAAATTTCTTCGATGAGGCTGACAAGGGAAACATTGCATTCAAAAGAGCATCAAAATGGTGGTTCTGGGAAGGAGGGGTTGAATTTGAAGACAACACTAGGTTGGAGGCTGATGTGGTGGTTCTTGCAACTGGATATGACGGGAAGAAAAAGCTCAAATCTATATTACCCGAGCCTTTTCGTAGCTTGATAGAATTTCCTTCTGGTATGATGCCCTTGTACAGGTAAGGCATAATCTCAAAGCTATGATTTTACTTTCCATATCAAAACAGGTCCAAGAATTTCAAAGAATTGCTTGATCTTCTGGCAGGGGCACAATCCATCCCTTAGTTCCGAACATGGCGTTTGTGGGTTACATTGAGAGTGTTTCAAACCTGCATTCTGGAGAGCTGCGGTGCAAATGGCTAGCTGAACTTGTGGACGATCAATTCAAGCTTCCAAATGTGGAGAGGATGCTTGAACAGACAACCAAAGAGATGGAGATCATGAAGAGGACAACCAGGTTTTACAAGAGGCACTGCATTTCTACCTTCAGTATCAACCACAGCGACGAAATCTGTGAAGAGATGGGATGGACATCTTGGAGGAAGAAGAACTGGTTCGCGGAAGCATTTAGCCCTTACAGTAGTCAAGATTATGAACAAGAAAAATGAAACAATGATACTAAATCTATGCTTTTGTCCCTAGAGAGAAATCTTTTGTCATAAAAATAAAAGAGAGTAATTCTTATAGGAATAAAATTAAGCCCTATTAAGTGCAAAGGAGTGTATTATAGGCCTATAGTTATCAATAAAGCATTTATGCTCTTAAATTGTATTAGCTCAACATATTTATAGTGCAAGAAGAAATACATGGTTAGTGTGCTTTCCCTCCCGAATACAAACATTGGGCAAAAATAACTGCAACACAACATCGTTTGCATTCCTTACATGCCACAGTAGCTTGCGTAACGAAGAACAAAAATAATATATCTTTCTTAAATTAATTGCTACGAGTAACAGGGTTCGGACTCATATGAAGATTTCAAACATCTAACATCAAGACAACAAATTTGATGGGCAGGGGAGGAAAAAAAAACACATTGGATTGAGAATCTAACTTACGGACTCAAATACTTTGAAGTATCTTTAGGGTCTCGTCAATATGCTTTTCGGGTTGGAACTGGTTGTTGTAGATGAGTTGAACCACCCCCTTCTTGTCAATAACATAGGTCTGTCTTCCAGGCAAGGTTCCAAACAGATCCGATGGCACACCCCAGTCTTTTCTGACCTTGTTACCCTCATCACTTAGCAATGTGTATGGAAGTCTGTATTTTTTCGCAAACGCCTTCATCCATTCAAACATTTTTGTAAGCCACAAGCATGGTAATTGTCACAAGCTAATTATAAACCACTCAATCAGAAGATAGTCAAGAAATAAAACCATCTCATGGAAGTTCGTAGCCATTATGGTCTTATTTCTCACAACCGCAGAATTCCCGTGGACCATAATATGACAAAATGCAACACAGCAAAGGATCTTCCACGTAGAAATTTCACAAGAAGTGATTGAAAGGCACGGTTCAAAAATGGGAATAAATTTCAACAACTGAGTCATAGTCAAACAATCTCAAGCTTTACCAATATAATATGAGTTTTATAATTATAAATTTATAAGCAGTTAAATACCTCAAATTGCACAGCTAAACTAATGTTGTCAATTTCAGTATAGTAATTGAATGGCTATGTCAAAAATATAGGAAAAATTAACAAGAGTCTTAAATAAGCTCACGCGTGAACAACACATGACAAGCTTCATAATTGGAAGAAGGTAATTGGCTCAAAATGCACAAGCTAACAATTATAATTGATTTCAGAACAGATAATGGATGGGTCAAATAAATTGAAAAAATGAAGCAGCTTCCATTCCAAAAAAATGAACCCAGAAATATTGAACCAATATCACATGGTAACAAGCTCAGGGTGCATAAATAATTCTTTCTATTACATTATTCAGTTTTAAGTCAATGAAATTATGCAATTAATAGGCGCTTAAGTTTGTTTAGTCACTCTTAGGCATAAAGTTTATAATGCTAGTCTGACACATGTTTCAAACTACTTAACCATATCATTTTTTGACCAATGATATCTTCAGCAGATAACAAGTTTAATCTTACCTACTAAATAAGGAAAAGCAAGTATGTTAATTACATCAATAAGCCTAATTCCTACACAATCAAGTACAGAGAGCAGATGTCTCTGGATGCCTCTCAATTGTTGAGCAATATACTGCAAAGTCATACAGTTATAATTGTAACCTTCGGGTGCAGGGACTAGAGGTTAAATTTCATCCTATCTATTGCTTAGAACGTGTCAATGGCAAGATGTTTTGCCATACCTTGTGTGATGATGGATCATCGCCGCTTATTCCAACAACCTCAGCTCCTGCTTTCTTAAACTTTTCATAGGAGTCCCTGAAAGCACATGCCTGTGAAGAGTTTCAAAGTTGTTAACTTCTGAATTATCAAGTAATCTGTTTGGGTATTCACTTAATCAACTCAACACTCCTCGTTTCGCGCCTTCTATATTCTAACCAAACCAATGTCGCAAAATGTATTTCCTAAGATGCACTTGGAAAAATATTGACAGTGATTCGCATACAAACAGTTCAAGAATGACCCGGAGAGTAAAGAGCAATAAAGATGAAGAATGATATGTTGTCATTTCAAATTGAGCATAACAGTTAGCAAATTTCAGAAACAACTGGGAAAAAAAAAAAAAAAAAGAAATCATTTACAGAATAGGTGCAAAACATACTAGCATTCCGGATATTTGTATTAAATTGGACAAATTAAGATTCATATGACTATATCTGGACATTTTTTTAGAATGATTTGATAACTATATTATGTGATTGTTGTCCTGAAATTAGATCAACACAATCACATTGATCATAAAGAAAAGAATTATGACATGGGAAGCAATAAAACAAAGGAGATTTGACCTGTTTGGTGCAACCAGGGGTTTCATCAGCAGGGTAGAAATAGACAACAACAGGCTTGCCTTTGAATTTGGAGAGGCTCACAGTCTTTCCATCCTGATCTTTCAATGTAAATGATGGAGGCACCCCACCTTTGTTCACCTTTAAAGAGAACAAATTAACACAAACAATCAAATACATTACCATCCATGATAATGATATGATAGATATTACAGATAATATAATTATTCTACAATAAAAGCAAGGCAATAAATAGAAGCAACCGAATGTGGTTAGTTAATTACCTTGGCAAAAATGGAACTCCTGAGTAGTGAAGAAGTAGAAGAAGAGGGGATTGAGAGAGAAGTAGCATAAGAGAGTTTGAGTCCACAAAACTGAGATTGTGATGATTTGGGGAGAATTGAGAGGTTATGAGAAAATGGGGTTTTAGGGGTTTGGTTGGGAAGTAGAGAGGGGAGAGAGTGCTTGGCGAGAGAGAGGGAAGCCATTAGTGGTAGAGAGAGAGAGAGAGAGAGAGAGAGAGAAGGTGGGGTTTTGGGTAGAGGATCAAGTGTGTGTTGTGTTAGATTCTTGTGTTATTAAAAGTAAGAATGGGGTTGTGTTGTTGAGAAAGATAAGGGAGATGTGGGGAGAGCCTATTGCTCTGCAAAAATTTATGGGGATAGATTGGGTTTTGGGCGTGGCAGATTGCTGACCTCAACTTCCGATTATGGTTCTACTACAGTTTATACAAAACAAGTTTTTTTTAGTTGGTTAAATTGGTTTAAATTGTCCCAGGCATAGCGGGTTGACATGATCTTAAAAATATGTCCTTTAGTTTGGGGTGCCATGTGAATTCACCGAGAGAGAGGTCATTCTGACTTACCAATTTGAAATTTTTATACAATGACCTAATTAGTTGAACGTCTCTCTTGTTACTTTGTTAACACCAATTTTCATATCAAGAGGATGTAGTTTTTTAAGCATTTCAAAATATTACCGCAATAGAATTCTTGCACCCACGAGAGAATTTTAATCTTTTGTAATGAGTGAGGAATAAGGCCTGTCACATGTCTAACAAATCAACACTGGCCACAAATTTAGTTGGGTGGGAACTGGGTAACATCTAAAATTTATTTTATTTTTGGGACTAAACAAAAACAAAATCTTTCCATTTTTTAATTTTTATTTATTTGTTTGTTTGTTTTGAAGTAACTACCATCTAGAACTTAAGAGCAGAAATTCGTTTAAATTATTTTGGGAGGAAACTCAGTCATTCCTACTGATTAAAGCACAAGATTTGTCTTAGTGAGTTTATTATATATTTACTTTTTAACACCTTTTTTTTTTTTTTTTTTCTTCATGAATACAGTCTAGAATTTGTTTAATTCATTGTTCTCAAATCTCTCTCTTTATTCTAACAATGAATTTTAAGAGTCAAAATTTACTCTAAAAGACAAGTAGTAGTAACTATTTTTTACCGGTCACCAGAGTGTAGTGTAATTTCACAAAATTTAGGGGAGAGTCTTCTATAACTTTCCCATAAATACAGTCTGCTCAACATGCTTGAACCATGGTTGACTCGATTGAAATAAAAACCCTAAATGGAGTGGGTTTAAGGCAGTGGATCGTGTAGAGAACAAATTTGATGGGCAGGGAAGGAAAAAAAAACACACATTGGATTGAGTATTGAAATATATATTAGATATATGTATAATATATTATACACTTAGTGTTGGATGTAGGCTTTAGTGCCGAACTACGTATATATTAGTGTTCTTAATCTTTCTCTATTTCATCTTCCTGTTTTACATCATATATTTCTACATCATAAAGTTAACATTGAGAATCCAATGTAAGGACTCAAATACTTTGAAGTAGCTTTAGGGTCTCGTCAATATGCTTTTCGGGTTGGAACTGGTTGTTGTAGATGAGTTGAACCACCCCCTTCTTGTCAAGAACATACGTCTGTCTTCCAGCCAAGGTTCCAAACAGATCCGATGGCACGCCCCACTCTTTTCTGATCTTGTCACCCTCATCACTCAGCAATGTGTATGGAAGTCTGTATTTTTTCGCAAACGCCTACATCCATTCAAAAGTTAAGCCACAAGCATGTTTGATTTATAAATATCTCATAGAAGAAAGTCAAGAAATAAAACCATCTCAGGGAATTTGTAGTATTATGGTTTTATTTGTCACAGACCGTATCATGACAAAATGCAACACAGCAAAGGAGCTGCCATGTAAAAATTCAAAAAATACGAAGCTATTGAAAGGCACGGTTCAAAAATGGGAAGAATAAATTTCAACAACCGAGTCATAGTAAAAAAAGCTTAAGCTTGAACAATTTAATTTGAGCTTTACCTTTTTTCGTCCCCATGTCGCCACACGGGGGACATGGGAAAGTAAAAAAGGGAATCCTATCAACTTGTTCCGACCTAGGAAAATAAGTTTATGAGCTTGGTCTTACTTCACCGTCGAGAAACGAAACAAGCATTAGCTCTCCCTGAAAAGGAGGTGATCCAGCCGCACCTTCTAGTACGACTACCTTGTTACAACTTCACTCCAGTCACTAGCGTAAGCAGTCAAGTACCTCAAATTGAACAGCTAGCTAAAGCTTTCAATTTCAGTATGGTAATTGAATATAAAAAATAAAAAATAAAGGAAAAATTAACTACCGTCATGGTTAAATAAGCAAATGAGTGAACAACACGTGACATGCTTCATAATTGGAAGAAGGTAATTGGTTCAAAATGCACAAGCTAACAATCAAAATTGATTTCAGATAGGTCGTATAAATTGAAAAAATGAAGTAGCTTTCATTCTAAAAGATTTACCCGAGAAATATTGAATCAGTGCACGTGGTACCAAGCTCAAGATGCATAAATAATTCTTTCTATTACATTATTCAGTTTGAAGTCAATAAAATTATGCCAATTAACATGTGATTATGTTTGTTTAGTCACTCTAGGAATAAAGCATCTAATGCTAGCCAGGACACATGTTTCAAACTATTTAACTATTAGTTTTTTTTTCTAACCAATGACATCTTCAGCAGATAACAAGTTTAATCTGACCAACCATACAACGAAAAGAAAAACAAGTACAGAGCGCAGATGTGCATTTACATTGTTGAGCAACATACTATGAAATCATACAGTAGTAGTTGTAACCTCTGGGTGCAGGGACTATAGTTTAAATTTCATCCCATCAATTGCTTAGGATCCAATGCTAAGAATTTTTTTTTGCATTACCTTGTGTGATGATGGATCATCACCACTTATTCCGACAACCTCAGCTCCTGCTTTCTTAAATTTTTCGTAGGAGTCCCTGAAAGCACATGCCTGTGAAGAAGAGTTTCAAAGTTGTTAGCTTCCGACTTTTCAAGTAATCTGTTTGGGTATTCACTTAACCAAACCAATGTTTCATAGTGAATTTCCTAAGATATAGTTCGAAAAATATTGACAGTGATTCACATACACTCAATTCAAGAATGAACCGGAGAGTAAAGAGCAACGGAAGACCCAAAAAATAAGAAGGATATGTTGTCATTTCAAAATTGATCATGATATATAGTTAGCAAATTTTAGAAACAACTGGGAAATCATTTATAGAACAGGTGTATAACATACTACAAGCATTCTAAAAATTTGTATTAATTGGGACAAACTAAGATGCATATGAGTATATCTAGACATATTTAGAATATTGGCCAAAATGGGAATGAATGAAGCATTTTTTAGAATGATAATTAGTTCAAACTATTCACATTGATTAGAAAGAAAAGAAAAATTATGATATGGACAAAAAAAGAAAAAGAAAAAGAAAAGAGATTTGACCTGTTTGGTGCAACCAGGGCTTTCGTCAGCAGGGTAGAAATAGACAACAGCAGGCTTGCCTTTGAATTTGGAGAGGCTCACAGTCTTTCCATCCTGATCTTTCAAAGTAAATGATGGAGGCACCCCACCTTTGTTCACCTTTAAAGAGAACAAATTAACACAAACAATCAAATACGTTACCATCCATGATAATGATATGATAGATATTACAAATAATATAATTATTCTACAATAAAAGCAAGGCAATAAATAGAAGCAACCAAATGTGGTTAATAATTTACCTTGGCAAAAATGGAACTCTTGAGTAGTGAAGAAGTAGAAGTAGTAGGAATTGAGAGAGAAGTAGCATAAGAGAGTTTGTGTCCACAAAACTGAGATTGTGATGATTTGGGGAGAACTGAGAGGTTATGAGAAAATGGGATTTTAGGGGTTTGGTTGGGAAGTAGAGAGGGGAGAGAGAAGGAAGCCATTAGTGGTTTTGGGTAGAGAGGATCAAGTGTGTGTTTAGTTTCTTGTGTTATTAATAGTACGAAAGGGGTTGTGTTGTTGAGAAAGATAAGGGAGATGTGGCGGATTGCTGATCTCAACTTCCGATTATAATTCTACTACACTGATACATAATGTGCACATCTACCGACACATAATGTGCCGTGTGAATTCACCCGAGAGGTTAATTCTGACAGATTAATTTGAAATTTCTATTATATTGAATATTATTACCTCCCTTGATAAGGGTGTCATAAATGAACAATTGAATAATCTTTAAATTCAATTTGTGAGAATTACGATTCTCTAGTCTATTATAAGATGGAGGATTATTTGTGGACAAGTTAAAATCTCTTTTCCTATTTTACCTGTATTAAAATAATAATAATAAAAAAAAACAATTGCACTTTTACTTTCAGATTGCATTACTTTGTTAACACCACTTTTCATATCAAGAGGATGTTGTTTTTTAAGCATTTTAAAATACTATTGTACTAGATTTCTTTCATAGGCCCAGAGAATTTTAATCTTTTATAGTGAGTGAGGAATAAGGCCTGTCACATGTAACAAATCAACATTTGCCCCAAATTTAGTTGGGTCAAATCTGGGTAACATCTAAAATTTATTTTATTTTTGGGATTAAACAATAACAAAATCTTTCCAATTTTTAATTTTTAATTTTTGAAGTAACTGCTCACTAGAACTAAAGAGCAAAAATTCTTTTAAATTATTTGGGAGGAAACTCAGTGGCATTCCTGCTGATTCAGTGAATAAGCTTTGTCCTAAAATTGTTTGTTGAGTTTATTATATATTTACTTTTAACACTTTTTATTTTAAAGTTTTTTTCTTTTCCAGGATTACAGTCTAGAATTTGTTTAATTCATTGTTCTCAAATTTCTTTATTTATACTACTAACAATGAATTTTAAAAGTCAAAATTTACTCTGAAAGACAATTAGTGGTAACTTTTTTTTAACTGGACACCAGAGTATAGTGTAATTTCACAAAATTTAGTGGAGGGTGTAGGGATGGCAATGGGAGCGGGTTTGGGCGGGCGTACCCTCTCCCGCCCCCACAACGGTTTAAAATTTCCGCCCCCATCCTCACCCAAAATCGTAAAAACAGGAAAATTTTTCACTTCATTCCCGTAACCGTTTAACATTTTTATCCCTGCGAGTACCTGCCCGGCCTCGTTTAAGATTATAATTTATTTATTGTTAAAATAAATTTGTTCATTTTTTTTTTCCTCGTCCCTGAATCTTCTTCATTGCAACTTTTTTTTTTAATCAAATTCATTTAGTACTTTAAAATTGTTACATAGAATACTTAATATATAGTGAGAAATATATATATTAATAAAAGGTACTTAAGTAATTTGTCTATCTAAATTGAGTGGAACGGGATGGGACGACCTCCCCCACCCCCGCACTTTTATTACATCAAATCATTCGTGCCCAAATAAGCAAAATAATTCCACAAAACTGCCAAAACTGGGCGGGGTGGGAGGTTAACCGCAGAGACGGGTTAAATTGAATTGCCATCCTAGGAGGGTGTTCTATAGTTTGCCCATAAATACCGTCTGTTCCATCAACGAAACAGGTTGGACCTTGGTTGACGGACTTGATTGAAATAAAAACCCTAAAACCCCTAAATGGAGTGGGTTTAAGACATTCATCGATCTACCAGCGAATCGTGTAGAGGTCTTGATCTTCTCTGAATTGAGTTTGGATTTCAGCGATTGAGTGTTAATTTGATGGAGGGATTAAAGAAGGCGTTCCGTACAATTTCTCAAGACCCTAAATTGGTCGCTTCTTCTTTATCTTCCTCATTCGACAAACCTTCTTCCAGTGAAGGAGGGATCGCTTTGTCAGCTGACCATTCTCGAGTTCTGCTCACCAGACCTCCCAGGTATTTCCTTTCTCTCTCCGTTACAAGCCTCCATATATATATACATGTGTATGTGTTTCAGCACTATTTTCTATTCACTGCATGTAGAACTAATAACTACTGGGTTTCTTAATTTTATGCTATTCTGTTCAGTGTTCACTAGAATGTGTTGTCTTGTCATTGGACATGAATTCATTGTCTTAGTAATACTTGGATCAACGCCTACATGCACATTTTAATAATCTCCTATGAATATGCTCCCATGATTAGGTATGGCTTGCATCATTTAATCCATCAAATCCCAAGACAGTATTTTTTATTTATTTATTTTATTATTTTTTGTATGCTGGTCTATGAGCAGTTTGGATATGTATGACATTTATGTAATTTAATCTAACTGTATATTCTGAAAATATGGAAATATGGTATTTTCTTGCCTCACTATCAGGATTTGATGGATGATGCTTAAATTGGTTGTTAATGTCTTGGCGGGTTGGAGAGGGAGGTTTGTATTATTTAGAGGGTGAGAGAAGTGTGGTAGTGTTGCGTCTGTGTTTGTGGTGGAGTAAGCCTCTGGAACAGTATAAACAACAATTTGAAGGACTGGAAATGCTTGTGGTTGAGTTGAAGACAATGTTTGTGATCTCTTTATCTTTGGATTCTGGGGGGTTATTTCTACACTCTTGATCGATTTGAGGGAATATGGGTTGCATCCTAGTGGTGCTCTTGTTTGAATTTTCATCTTTTGTGAAAATGCATACTGAAAATAATTGTGAGGAGAATGGAAATACTACTAAGCTATACTCTTGGTGGTTTATCCAAGCGCCCTTTGATTATCTGATGTAATGAGTTCAGCAAGGCTTATCTAAGCTCTTTAAAGATTCAGTGTTGGTTTGGACACGTTTACTTCTTGTATTAAAATCTCCCTTTTGATTTCATAGCAAAAACATTTTTCTAGCATTTTTCGTTGACTAACTAAATAAAGGACAGGTAACATATTTTGAAATAATTTCTGGATGCGTGAAGGATTTAATTTTACCTTTGTCAAAAAGATGAGGGGTGGGTGTCAATAATAAATGCGGCAAGATTAACATTGACAAATTAGCTCCATGGAAAGTGGACAAGGAAATATTTGGAAAGGACGGATTTGGGAGGATCATTGTTAATTCTGCTAATGAGCTGAGCCAAGACGAGCTAAGTAGTTGGATGTTCGGACTTGACTTGGCAAAAGTGAGATAATCCTGGGCTTAACTCAAGCTTGGGTGAGCTTGGCGCTCGATCTCAACTTGCTTCAGCTTGTTAGCACATGGAAGAAGAACATGGAAGAAGAGTAGCAATGCTCTGAAGCTGAGAACAATTAGAGTTGATATGTGTTAGTTCTGCAGCAATGTTGGAGAAGAATACATGAACAGGTGGCAGTACCTTCTTTCTTTAACCAGAAATGATAGCCCCTTCAGTTTCTCTCTCTCTCTCTCTATCTATCTCTCCCTTCACTTCTCTTGCCCTTTAAAATTTCCAGGAATGATATGGTGATGAAATTTATCGAAAGTGGAGTCTAGAGCTACTATATTACTTTTAAATATATGCATATTTACGTATCGAAAGTGGAGCCTGACGACTGAAGATCTTATTATAGTACATGTAAAATAGTTTCCAAAAACATGGCTGAACTAAAAACCGTATAACTGAAAGATAGGCTTATTGTGGTGACCACCCGAGCTGTGCCTCTGCAGAGCTTAGTGTTGCTCAGGCTTGTTCGTTAAATAATCGAGCTTCTGAATTAGGCTTGAGCTCGTCTCCATAGCTTTAAAGATTTAACAAACAAGCTTGAACAAGTGGAGTCATGTTCTGTCAATGAACTGTCCAACTCTTTTTAGATGTAATCATTGTGATTCTAATTCTAATATTGGCATGCACAAGATGTGGATTTCTATTCTATTCAATTCAAAACCATTGTTAAATCCAACCCGACCGCATATGACAAATAACCCACCACATGACCAACAACTGTACTGTGGTTGGTCACGTGGTAATAAGTCCCTTGTACAAACAAACGGTTGATATGCAGAATGTTAGTGTCCATAGTCTTTGTAGATTCTGCTATTACATTTGGTGTAGGTTGTAGAAGCTTCTATTATTTGTAGGAAAAGAAGTCGTGCATTGGCTTTCTAGTTTTCTTACTTGGTATAGGGTTCTCAGGGTGCTACCACTTGCAGTCGTAGCATGGACCACCGAGTTGTGCTTGATTGCACTGGAAGGTGAACATGATATGGGTCTAGCACTAAAATTATGTACTGCAGTTTTGAGGGTTGAAAATCTAGTAGTCAACTTGCTAGATTGTTGGGCACATAAACAACAAAAATTACGTGACGTGACTATTGATGTGACGTGTTATAGTGGGTTTGGCACAATTTGCACGGGTCATTATCAGTTTTTGCCGAGTAAGTGTGCTGTTTGTCATATTTAGTCTGGTTGGGTTTATAGGATTCTAAAATAAATCAAAGCTGAGAACACTTCTATCAAGGAAAGGAATTTGCCCTCGTTCAAAATTCTCTTCTTTTTTGTATAGTAATTATTTATATGTTTTTTTTCCCCAAACATTTGTTCAAAAAGTGGCATGCAGCACGGTAAATATTCTTTTGATTGAGCTGCATTTATGTAATTGCAGGCGAGTGTTATCCCTCTGGACCTGCTCAAAGCTTTGTGCGGTTTGCTTTGTTGCCGGAGTAGTTGTTGGTTATACACTGAAGTGCCGTGTCCGACGCTGGGCTTCAAAACTTCTCAAGAGATTGAAGGATGATTAAGCCCACCTGGCCAATTGTCATGCTGTTTTGTTGATAATTCAATGTCATCCACGCATGAAATGTATCCGCTGCTCGGACTTCTTCAAACAGTTTTGTAGAGTGCTTGAAATTCTATGAGTTTTCAACTCATACACTCACTCTTTAGGTGATTTTTTGGTTCTTGTTACTTCAATTGTCTGCGCATTAGGTGACTTAGAGCGGTTTTGAGTCAGATAGAGTTCCATGCTTTACAGGGACTGTCATATCTGTTTTTATACATATGGACTTGTAAAATGAAATTTATACTGAAATGTTTAGCAGAGCAGGTAAATATGCATCCAGAAAGGTTTAGCAGAGGACTCTCCATATTTTCCCACCCCGCGCGTCCCTTTTAGCCTCACCCAAGTTGTAGCTTAAAAAAAAGTATACGTTCACTATTCTCTTCAGTTAATTTTAAAAAAATTATTTTTTTGTGTTCTAACTTTGCAGAAATTATTAATGAGAAAAAATCCAACATGAGTGAATCTAGAATAGGACTATTGGGGCAATTTTGAAACATAAACAGAACCTCTTTTTGCTGTTCTTGTAATAAACTCGGGCAATCACCATTTGATATCCTTCGAGTTGATTGGCCCTTATGGATTTGGAAAAGGCATCAGGGAGAATTACATAAGGATAGAGTACCAGCTGCAAGAAAACCTGTTACTCTTTCTTAACATCCTTGGTCATGGCCCATGGTTTGTTTCTAAAATTTGGTCTCTAGACTCTAGTGAAGGATTGCAACCAAGAAAAATATATTAGGGCATAATTGTAGTTTTAACCCTCTCATTAATCGATTTTAGACGTCATCTCTTATTTTTCGGCGCTAAAAGACTGTCTCTCTTCAAGTGAATAAAGAGCTATAACTAGAGGGAAGAGAGAGAGGGACACGAAACGAAGAAGAAGATAAAAGAGGGAATGGAACCCAATCTAATTGAAGAGATAGACGTCGTTTTGGAAAGAAAGAAAAATAAAAATTGGTAAGAGCCACGTAAAAATCGGACCTAAGGAAAATATATGGTAATACCAAATTGTGGGTCTCACAAGGGAGATAAGATTTTAATATAAATTTACTAATGTTTATGATAAAAACCGTTATTTTGTGTATATTGGGGTGGTGGGGGGGGGGGGGGGGGGGGGGAGAGAGATTCACTGCGAGAAATAAATGGAAGGGGAGGGGGGTATAAATGGAATCGAGCAAGGCTTAAACGCGAGTTGTCTTCTCTGCATGGGATTCTCTGAATCTCTCTGAAAGGGCTCGTCCGCTCTCTCCAATCATTTCTGTCCCAAACTCCTTCCTTCCATGGTCTTCTCTCTTCCTGTTAGCACCTGAACAATTAAGCCTCCGCCTCATCACAGTCACTTGTATATTCCACATCTCTCTTATCTCTATTCGTGTATATGTATTATATATCCACCTTTTGGGTTGTTATTTTTGTTGATTTGGGTGCTCAGATTTATGCGGTTTATGTTCTCTTCTTTTCTGCATGGTAGTATTGGATCCTCAGATTATTTTTTCTATTTTTTGTTATTTCATATCAATTGTTTCTTTGTGATATTTCAATAGCCATGATTCTCTTTTTTTGGTAATTATTTTTATGTTATTAGTTTAGTTGGATTATCTAATGGTGAATTTGGTGTGATTTCATTCAATTGTTAAACTTGTCCATTTTTGTTAGACTAACTAAATGGATGATCTAAGGAGGGTTTCATGGAGTCTTTCACGTGCACCCGCGAGTTTGTGGCTTTCAATCTGGAAATTTGACCAAAATGAGGTTTCTATTTTATTATTATTTTTTTTCCAAAAGAAAAAAAAGTTACTTATATATATATATTTTGTCTTAAATATTGTTGGCTAATGACTGCTAAATCAAATCTGCACTAATTGAAATATAGTTGTCTCTGCTCGTCATATCTTAAAACTATGCTTAAGAGATCTTTAGATTCTTAATGGTAGTATGTGCTTCTTGATTTCAAACACACCTCAACCATTAACAGCAATACACGGCTTTATTTCATATTTAGATGTTCCCATGAGAGTGATTGATATAAGTGACCATGACCACTTACTTTTTGATGCTTCATAGTCCAAGTATTGCCTCAATTGATTGGAATCTGATGTTGCTGATGGACTTTGAATTGATAGAAAAATATCTTGTAACCAAATTACCTTAATTTTCAAGTTATGTGTAGATTCTTAGTTTTGAATGTTTCATAAATGCATGTAAAACTTTGCTTAATGGTTGTCTTTATTCAACATCTAGTTGTTCCCATTAGAGTGATGATGGTTGAACAATACGCAACTAATTGTTTTGTTTCTGAAAATAATGCATGTAAAATCTCATGCTTATATGTTTTAAATACAGTGAAGAAGGTCGGATTGGTCTGGAATTAAACACTTTGAACTCAACCTTGGAACTCATCATTACTGTGGTAACCATATAGCAATGGATAACAATGGAGGATGTAAAACTTTGCTTAATGGTTGTCTTTATCCAACATCTAGTTGTTCCCATTAGAGTGATGATAGTTGAACAATACGCAACTAATTGTTTTGTTTCTGAAAATAATGCATGTAAAATCTCATGCTTATATGTTTTAAATAGAGTGAAGAAGGTCGGATTGGTCTGGAATTAAACACTTTGAACTCAACCTTGGAACTCATCATTACTGTGGTAACCATATGACAATGGATAACAATGGAGGACGAAAGGTGACGGGAATCAGGCGAATTGTAAGGCTGAAGAAAATTCTCCAAAAGTGGCAATCTGTCACTCTTCCCCAAAAGCGGAAGAATTACATCCGCGGCTGTCGAGCTCATGGGGGCATCTCGCCAGCAATTAGTAGGAGATTGAGGAGTTCGAATGTATATGGTGATAAGCATCCAGCAATGGATGACAATGGAAGAAGAAAAGCGACAGGAATCTGGCAAATTGTAAGGCTGAAGAAAATTCTCCAAATATGGCATTCTGCCACACTTCGTCGTCGAAAGAGTAAGAAAATCCGTTCTGGTCGAACTCATGGGGCCATCTCGCCAGCAATTAGTAGGAGGTTGAGGATTAGTGATTTGGATGAGGAAAGTTGCTACAGCCCTGAGCCGCCCCAAGGTGTTCCTAAAGGGTACTTGGCTGTTTACGTTGGGCTGGAGCTTCGGAGGTTTATCATTCCCACTAGCCATCTTGGCCATCCATTGTTCAAGGTGTTGCTGGAAAAGACCGAGGAGGAGTTTGGATTTGATCATAGCGGCGGCCTCACAATCGCATGTGAGACAGAGATATTTAAATACCTCTTAAAGTGCATAGAGAACCATCAGAAACATCAACCTAAACACGACGTGGGTAAGTTTTACTAATTTTTTTTTTTTTTTTTTTAATGTAACATGCTCATAAACATTCTTTACCTGCATCTCATATTACTCTGAGGGTGTCATTAGAATTCAGTTTCTATGAGCAGAGCTTTCTAATTACACTTTTTAGAACATTGTACATTTTAAAATTATGTTCCAATTGAATAATTTCAAGTGATAACAATGATTTACACCAACTAATTGTTTTGGTAGGGTTAATGAAGTTTTGGCATATATATGTTTTTGGATATAGGTCAATTTTTTTGTCCAGGAAATGGTTTTATAGGCTTATAGAAACCAATTTCGAGGTTTAGGGTTTTAGGGCTATCTTTGTATCTGACAAATGAGAAAATGAATGGAATTTGCAGCTGAAGTTGCAAAAGTAAATTTTTACTGGTTGCATCTCTCTTTTCTTTCGCGAAGATATGCCATTGAATTGTACTATATAACATTAAGAAGTCCTCTTTCTTTTTTTTTTTTCGAAATTGTTTATACATACTAAATTTCTTCTCTTGCTCATGCATTCGCCATCCTATTAATCAAATGGTGCTCGGCAATATCATTATCCTCTATTACTAATTCGCTTTACTAAACTCCGAAATTTTGGTGATTTTGCAGCTGGGACATGCGCAAACCATTGGAGAGTAAGTGAATATTCTGAGTCCCTGTTGTAATCTAAACCATTGGTGATTTTGCAGCTGGGACATAAAGGTCTCCACGCAGATTTTGATTATTAATTTTATTTTTCCGGCACTCTTTTTCTGAGTGGAAAACAGAGGTTTGGTTAGAATCTTTTACCGAGACTCAGCTGGCAAATGCTGTAGCAGTAACTCACCTTTCCTTGTTTTGTTGTTGAAGGGGTGACCTACAATATGCGTAGCATATTGTCTAACAGCAGTACTTGTATTGTAATTGATTTGTGGTTCTGACCAAAGATTGAGCGAATGTATATTTACATTCAATCATGAATGTTTTACCCAGGAAAAAAGAAAAAAGAAAATCATTAATGTTTAAGACCATTATTATCATTATAATATGCAACTCAGTTTGTGGATGGAATTGATAACAAAAGCTAGTGATACAAAATGACTGCACTGAAAAATGTCACTGCACAATTGTTGTTTGTTGTTTGCAGTCTTATAGCTGCTGAAAAATCTGCTTCAAATTGGCATTGTGAGGGAGGAGAAAGTATTGGATATCCCGGGTACCTAGAACATAGTACTCTGGTCAATTGTTAGTTTTTATTTTCTATTATTAAAGAAAATAGTAAGTATTTATTAACCGAGTTACTATATATTTGGTACCCAGAGTATTCAATTTCAGAGGTGTGTGATTTTGTCTAGGGCATTTGTTAGTATATTTGGAAGATCAACTATATTTGGAAGCACCGAATATAAGAATTAAAATTAGAAAAAAAAGATTAGTTCAAACTTTAATTTAAATTTTTAGCTAAATTTTCTCCAATTTGAGTTCCATTTTATTCATGACTTCTAATACACTTTATAAAGCTTAATCTAAAATTGGAGTAATTTGTGTGTGTGTGTGTGTATCCAAGCACTCCCTAAAGTAGTTTATTTTTTTATTTTAGGTTTTGTTTTGAAAAATAATATTTGTCTTCTAAATCGGTGTAAATATTGTTTACTTTACACAATTTCCTCTGATACTTCTCCCTCCAACGGACATGGGACGTCACACAAGGCTTAGACATACAGGCCCAAATTTTAATTGTATAGCAGGAATAAAAACCTTGAGGCCCGCAAGCAATATAGTATTGGATTGGGCCAAGGGGATATATAGTATTTGATTTAGTATTTTAGTATTGAAATGCTATGATTCGATTACACACGAAACCTGAATGTGTTAATGAAGTGTTGTCCATCATGTGCAGCAGTCACGTGTGGTGGAAGGAGGTACGGCGTCGAGTTTTTCGCCCTCCTCTCTGCAAACTCTGCCACCACCATAACACCACCAGACCCACGCTCTCTCTCTCTCTCCCTCCATAGAGACAAAAGAAGAGAGAGAGAGAATAATACACCAAGAAGTGGACATACAGATTACAGAGAGGGAGCTCCTACTTTAAAGTTTCCACATCTTACCTCCTAAAAAAAACTTTTTAAGGGTGTGAAATCAATATTCACACAGTGATCTGCACACACATGTGCTATCTTTTGTACAAACCACTTGCAGGCTTTTTCACCATCTCTTCTACTGCCAGTACCATTATTATTTTTATAATAATTATTAGTACTATTACCCGTTGAAAACAAGTGTTGTTCATATCCAGAGAGAGGGATAGATCAGACTCTCTCTCTCTCTCTCTCTACCCTAATTATTTTTGAATTCAATATAGTAACTCTCACTCTCTCTGCAATTCTAAACTGCTTTCAACATAAATCACTCATACACACACTCGCACGCACACACAAATATAGTACTAATAGCTATTTCGGTTTAGCAGAACTCTTTGGTTTGTTCTGGCCTGTAAATAATTATCCCCAATTTCCGTAACCCTAATTAAATTACTTCCTCTTTCTTCTTTCAATTTTATATTTATTTTTTATTTTTGCATTTCCATTACCACATTTATTCGTGGTTTCTACTGGTACTTTGTTTACTACTTAATGCATATGTTATATTGTAGCAATATTGTTTAACAATTATCTTTCAAAATAAGAATTAAAAAATAAATTTTGCTTAAGAATGGAAGTTTCTTCGGGCTGCTCTTCTTCGGTATCAACACTGTTGCAGCCGCCGCATCCCAAGCCGCCACTAGAGTATCCAGATTTGTACGGGAAGCGCCGTCAGCTGGCTAAGGTTCAGATTTTGGAGAGGGAGATCGGTTTTCTTAAGGTTAGCTTTTCAATTTTAATTGTTTGTATTTTTTTTTTTTCCCTCTGTTTTTGTTCTTCTAGCTAGTCATTATGTTATTTATTTGTGTTATTTTTCATTCATTTTACCTTTTTTATATCAAGTTAACTCCAAAAAAGAAAATTTTGATTAGGGTATAAACTCAATCCTCTGCAACAAAATTAATCATTATAAAAAAAATTGACATTTAATGAAACAAATGACTGAATCAAATAACTGGAAGTAGCAACCTAATCAACAAGTTTATGATTCATCTATGGAAATTAAACAATAGTATTTAATTAATCTAATTGTAACACCATTTCTTGGTGGCTGATAATAGTTAGTGTGTGCTAGCTGTAATAATGAGTTCTATGAGATCAATTTGAAGAGGCACATTCAAAAGGGACATCAATTTGGGTGTATTTTTAGCTTAATCTTGATATTTTTTAGTATATTTCAGAACCAACATTCGATCTCCCTCAAACAGCAAGGGAAGCTTGTGTAGACTTGCATTTTGTTGGGGACATGGAGTCCTAAGCAACGCTATTTCTTTTCCGAACATTAGAATAAAGCTCAGACCTCTCATTCTTATTCATCCCTCAATGGCCTCTTCCTTGCACCATATTTCCTCTGTATTCCTCAACCTTCCCTGGGCCGAACTTTCAATGTTACGTAAAAATAAAACAACTACAGAGTGCAATACATATATTAGGGGATTTAATCATAAAAAGCTGCTAATCTTCACCGTGTACTAAGAAATACTTTTGTATGTGGATTAAATTGATCGATTAATCACACTTACTCTGTTGTCTGCCCCATGGACAGTATCACTACTGCCCCCACTATGATGTTGTACATGAAGGATGAATTCTTTTCCTCTTTTCCCTAGGCAAGCATGAAGAAATGACAAGACAGTGTTCCCATAGTTCGCATAAAATGGAAACAGCGGAAACCAATTAGTGAGAATTGGTTGCTATTTGTCATATGATGAGTGATGCACAAACAAATATAGGTGACTACAAGTTTATGTCTATTTAGTACTCCCCAAACATTTAGCAGTGTTTCTTATTTTTCGTTCCATGTTAATGTAAATGTCTATTTACACTATTCTAATTTAAAAATGGTTGCTGCAATTAGATGATACTAGTTACAAGTGTACCGTCTTTCTAGTGGTATACAACATTAAATAGGATTTCACAAATGTTAGATATTACAAATGCATTCCCGGATGTGGTAGCAGAATCAATAATCACAAAGGGGTTGCTGCTTCCAATTTGACTATCATTATCACAGAAATTGCCTACTTAGATAGGGTGCGAGCCCAATTACTTGTGATTTCTCTCCTTCTTACACAATTCTGTCACAAAAATGTCAATGACAAATTTTATTGCAAGCAGGAGGAACTAAAATCCATTGATGGCCTTCAACCTGCTTCTCGGTGCTGCAAAGAGTAAGTGATTGATTTTGCAAATGTTTTATGTATCATGTAGTTAACCAATTATTTAATCTGGAAAGGAATTAATCTATGCAGTTTATTTATCTCTTTTTTCTCCTGGAATTACATGAGGAAATCTATTCATCTAGTGTTAACTAATGCAATATTAATTGGACTTAACAATTTGGTAGGGTTGCTGATTTTGTGGAGGCAAATACAGATCCTTTAGTACCTGCGTAAGTAATTCCACAACTTTTCCCTTCAAATTAGATAGAAGATTTAATCCTTACATTTCTCTTTTTCTTCAAGCAGAAGTCGGAAGATTCAAAGCTCATGTCGGTTCTGGAAGTTGATCTGGTACTTTCTTGTCATATTCTTATCTGTTCTGTATAGATTGAGTAGTGTTATTTGTGCCCCAGATTTGCAGCAAATATTCAATATTAAGAGGACAAAATTACTTCATAACCATATGCATAGAGCAGCAGCAAAATGGGATTAACCTTACCATTTATATTAAAATTTATGGAATAATCATTATCTGAGTGACAAACTTAATGTGTTCCATAAATTGAGTTTCCGCTTTATTGTTACTGTTGAAAAATGATCGAATTACTATTGGTACTTGTAACTGTGGTTGTGAAATAACCATACAAATCGTAATTGTTCTCTCCTTTACAGGAAATTGGTATCTTGATTTATATCTTTGACCTTATAATTTGTTTGTTAGGTATCATTTCAATATGTCTTTGTATGTACAGTTGCTAATTGAGCTGCTAAGCAACTGTATTACAGGGATTGAACATGAGGATGAATCTAAAAGTTTGATTTATAAAATCCTTAAACTTACAGACATGAGACAACTAAATATTCATAGCTTTTAGTATTCTTCTTTTAGATAATTGGTAAAATGGTGTTTTTGTGTATTAAATGTTCAAAAATGGCAAAAAAAAATTACTTACAAGGACATGAAAAACTTGAATTATCAAATACTTGCTAAGTGAATTATCATCTATCTCATTGCAATCTCTTGTTTGGCTGACTGTGACACTTAAAAAATGGTCCAACCAATTTTTTTCAGGCGAAGGGTCACAGTTAATAAAAAATGAAAGAGGTTTAGGATCATTTGCAACCAAAGGTCCCAAACTCGTATAATGAAAAAACACTCTAGAAGCTACATTAGGTTGCTCTGCTTTTTGAACAATTAAAAAATTGAAAATTAACTGTATTCATGATTAAAATAGAACTATGTAGTAACTAAAAGTATAATGAAAAAAAAACTCTAGAAGCTACATTAGGTTGCTCTGCTTTTTGAACAATTAAAAAATTGAAACTTAACTGTATTCTTGATTATAATAGAACTATATAGTAACTAAAAGTATAATGAGATCTTTTATGGAGTGTGCAGAGGGATGGACACAAACTGTACTAAGTCATCACATGCCATCTTATTTTTCGCTGTGTACTAGTTTGACCTACGTAATTCATGAGAGACAATACGGATTAAGCTTAAAAAGAAAATGAATTTCGTGAGGCATTGATACCTGTGTTCTTGTTTGAAGCTTCCTTTCGCTAGACTCTTGTACTCTTTCGTAATTATCCCTTCCTTCAACAGGTTAGCCCGAAGAACAATATGTTCTTAGAAAATCCAGTTGAGGTGGGATGATGTGCATTTATACGGTTTTTTGCTCTCTATTTCAATCGATAGATTTGTGAAATCTTACTCTGTTATAAGCAGTGATCCAAAATAACTGACAGTCTATTATTCTGTCTCTTAATATAGTGTTTAACTGACCATTCAGCAAATCTCAATGAGAAATATGTATTACTTCTTTTTTTTTACCATCTTGCCTCTCTTTACAGTCTGAGCCGATTACTTTTGGCTTAATGCAAATGCTTTGTGTATAATGTGAGTTTCCTTGGCATGCAGTGCAGCAGCCTCCTGCTTCAACTTCTCATGGATTTGCTCTTATGGGTGCTGTCCTGATTTTAAAAAGCCAAACTGCTGCGACTGCAATTTATGCAACTGCCATTCATGTGTCTGTTGTTCGGTATCAAACTGCAAGTGTTGCTCCTGCCCTCGCTCCCAATGCTTTGGCAAGATCTCATGCAGTAGAAGCTGTTGCATATTACCATGTCCTTCCTGCCTACATTTCTCTTGCAGTAGATGGACATGTTCTTGTCCTGATTGTCCAAAGTTACCCTTGTTTTTCTGTTGTACAAAAAAATGTTGCTATCCTTGCTGTTTCTGTTATTAGTATATTTATGCAATGATCCCATATGGAAGCTTTTTCTTCAAGGTGTATATATATATTTTCTTACGTTTTTATTTTTTATTTTTTTTTGGATTAAATTCAACTCAAACATGTCTAGACTCTTGATCCAAACTACTTAGGGTCGACTCCTTGGGTTCCTTTAATCAGCTCGGTGTACAAATGTTGCAAATGAACTGTTGATTGCACTCACTCAATCTTCGACAGATAGGATGTGGGGGCATGACCTTTACCACTCGGATCGTGCCCGATGGGATTTTTCTTTAACTAATATCGTCATTAGCCAATGTTGCTTATAACTCCATTTTTAAAAAATCACACAAATCCCATCAACTTGGTGCAATTACAATGACCACCTAATGAAATCAATATCGCTTATAATTGAACCATTTTTAGAAAAATACCATGTGCTCTTTTCCATCAGAAACTATCATCTACTGAACTGATTTCTCATTAGCCGCGTCAACATAATGGATGAGTTCTCCGCAAATTACAACACCTTCGAGATAAACTTCTCCAATTTCCCTTTCATTATGAGATTATTTCAGTAATGGAAATTAACCCAGCTAATCAGGAAAAAACAAGCCCACATCCTTGAGAGTAGCCGTATATACATAGATTTTTTTTTTTCAAAGAGTCAGACAATTGCCATAACTATTTAAAAAGCCATCAATCAAAACCAAGTACAAAGTAGACCAATATATCAATCATGATACAAGAATAACCAACCATCATGAAAAACAAGGCATAACAAGTGTCGTTACCCACAAAAAAAAAATGTGGGAAAATATACTGATTAATGAACAATGTTCCTAAACAAAAGATCAAGAAACTAACACTTGTACTGAGTGCACATTCAATCATAAGTCCAGGTTGCACGTAAAAATTGTTCCTCGTCGATCTTCTGGACAAAATATTTGAATACAGAAAATACTAGAAGGCATATAGAAAGAGATATGGGTTCAAGTTTTCCACTTGAAATCAGTACAGCTGAAATATAGAGGCAGTCCAGTTCTTGAAATGCACAGTGGTTTTAGTGACCATACTTCTGAAATTCCCACTCGCTGTTATCTGCACAAAAAAACAACCACAAAAGAAATGAAAAAATGCATCACCAAACAACAAAAGAAATGAAAATATTGCATCACCAAGCAAGGTGATTGATATGACAAAAGAAAGAAGAGGGCACATAAGATTTACCTAGCGGACAAACTTGACGAGTCTTGAGCCATCTGCTGATGCAGTGGAAGTGAAATGCATGGTTGCAGACCCCTGCAAGAATTAGGAAACAAGTATTGCTCAAGAATTCTCAAAGTGATCATTCTTCTACGAATTCGATCCAAAGACATATATTTCTTTTTCCAGTTCCAATAGACCACAAAACTCGATGACCGATGGCCATTAAATTGAACAAAGAATTGGACCGCAAACATCAGCACCTCAAGAAATCATCACAATAAAAGGTTCAATGTAATCTGAAAGAGAGACATATTAAATTTTTTCTACATGACATTCTAATTCTAAAGAAGTATTACCACATTAACTGAGGCTACGACCTTATAGATTAGAATGAAAAAATAGGATTCATGTATCCGACCCCAAGTTGTTGGGAAAAGACTTTGTTTATTATTTGCTAACCGTCGTAATATGTTTGTAATTATCTCATATTAGGCGACAAACATTAAAAAAATTATAACAATAATCATCAAAACTGTCAAACTACGGCTACATAGTAGGCTGCTAGTAGCCAAAATAGCATTTTTACAAGCTTTGTCGTTATAGTAAAAAAAATTATTGTCAAACATAACAAATCAAACTGTGAGGCAAAATAAGAATGAGACCTCATTGTTCATTCATTGGAAGAGGAAGGAAAAAAAGGGGAGGTGGGGAGGCACAATAAATAAAAGATAAAAGATTAACCCCCCCCCCCCCCCCCCTTTCACATTTACTAGAGAGGGGAGACCTCAAGAACTAAGAGGATCTTTTGCCGTACTTGGTATCCTCTTGAAGAGCCTTAGAAACACTAGACTAGAGTCTTTACAAAAAGTATACCACCTCGACCTCCCAAGTTTAGATTGACCTCAACAAGACCCTGATGTTGCAGAATCCATGATGATCCCAGTATTGCCACACTCACTCTGTCTCTCTTTTACAAATCAGCCTTGACTTCCACCTAGTGTAGTTTGCTTGGTACCTCCATTGCATTACAGGTAGTACATCCATCCGTATTCATTGTCAAACACCCACAATTCACACATTGTATAATGATTTCAATATTCTTTGATGACATCGTTAAAATGCTTGATAACTTCTAAAAACAGATTGAACATTACTGAGGCATTCGAAATTCAATGAATATAACCCACTAAGTGAAAATATAACCCACTCAGATAAAACATTACTGAGGTATTCGAAATTCAATGAATATAACACACATCATTACATGAAACTATAACCCACTAAGTGAATCATATCAAAACTGAAGAAGCCTCCATTAACAAGTTTAAAAAACCATACAGGAGCTTTTTTACCACACCCTCATACAGTGCAACTGCTAGTTACTAATTGTACAATACATATTAAATTTTGAACAACTATACCTAATTAATAGTACTGTTATAATCAACTAAGTTGTTTTAGGTATGTTGTGAGTTTCATGATCTAGTTTCTCTTACTGCCCTACATAAAATTTCATTTTTTTAGTTAATAAAAGTTAAACTTAACAACCGGGGGAAGAAAAAATCAACTACACAATACCTATTAAGACAAATTCAGCTCCTTCTAACACTGACTAATGACTAATCCCCCAGGTTGTTATCCCCAAGAACAAGGTAAAGAAAAAAGAGAGAGAAGATACTTCCAGGACTGGTCTGTAATGCTTAAAAACTCAAAGTTCTGCAGCACAAAATGAAATTGTTTCCCATTTATCGCTAATAGCATGGTAAAAATCATCATTCATAATAAACCAATGATCCACAAAAACAGCACCTTCATAAAGCAAAAGATTAACTAGCAGTAAGACACCTGATTCACAGATTCACCCGTTTTTAAATTATTAATCCCTTAACAACTTTTCAATAGCTGTCCATAACAAGGACAAACATGTGAAAAGTCCAATTTTCTCTACAATTTTAGTTGAACATAATTTCTTATCCCTTTTCAATTAAACAACAACTATAACAGTGAAAGGCTATTAATGCTTAGAGAAGATGCATACCCCAAGCAACAGTACATTCCTCGCTGGTGGCACTCGCTTGGTTAGCTTGGCACTCGATGCCTAATCAAATCACCAAATATATCCCAGAAAATAACCATTAAATCAGGGGAAAAAAAATAGTACCACAATAAACAAAGGGTTAGAAATCAGGATCAATAAGATCAAATCAGGAGAGATCAAACTCACAGAGATCCATGATATGGTTCCTGCAAATCGCACAGTTATCCACGACAATATCTGCATCCACCAATTAAACAATATACCACCAAATTATTACATGAATCATTCAATTCAACACATACAGATACACCTACATACACACATACAGAGAAAAAGACACAAATATGGAACATAAAAAATATAAAGAAAAAACTAGGGTTAGGGTTAGGGTTTAGAGTACCCCAAGCCCAAAGAGCGACAGCGTTCCACTTTTTGATCTCGAATCGCTTAGACTTCTTGGATAAGGTTGTTACAGCGGTTGAAGAAGACGGTCCAGCGCCGGACGAACCCTCGCCTGCGGGAACCATAGTCACGTCTGAGTCCAGAGAAGCCATGACTGTCTCTCTCTGCGTCTGTGCCGGAGTCTTGTCTCAGTAGTTGTGTAGGATAGTCATGAATGGACTAATATGTAGGCTGGAACAAGCATAAAAGTCGGAACCAAACGCTGGCTTTATGGTTGGGCCCTAAGCCCAAGGCCCAATCGTCTGTAAACGAACGGGCAACAATCATGTCGACATATTTTGTCATGTGTCGACATTTGAACAATCAATTTTAAGACGGGTGCGCCTTGTATGACTTCATTACGAGGAAGATACTGCGGATTTTAGTTCACGGCGTACCCGATTTGGATTGAATTGGATCGATTTAGTAATATTTTGAAATTAATCTAACTCAATAATTTTTAAAATTTTAAATTTGATTCAATTTAATCACAATCTAAATCCAACCACATCATTATAATTCGGATCAATTCGATTTAATCTTTTATGACACGACATCAGGAAATTGAATGTTGAGCTGGAATTGGATGATCAACTGTTGGGTTATGAGATTTTTTTATTTGGCATGGTAAAGTCTACAATAAATTTGTATTTTTATATATAAACATATACAACATATTAATAGCAGGTTGGTTCAATTCAGATTAGTTTAGTTTTTTTAAATTGTAATTCGTGAATCAAGCTGATCACCACCATTTTTTAAATTCTAAATTCGTAATTAAATCGATTGCTAAATATTCCGAATTAAATTATATCGAATCAAATTAAAAGTTTAAGAGTGTAAATGTGCATCCCTAATTCAAAATTACTATTAAATATAAAAGAAAATCGACACGAACAAATGATTTTTCTTGTAGCAATAAAAGTTATGTAAATAATGTCAAATATAAAATCTTGCTAAAAAGTTATCCCAAGTCATTTCTTGATGTTGTATTATTTATGTTAGTATATCTGTATAACATGAAATAAGTGAGGCCTTTATTGTCTCTTGTAGAATTAACTGTTTTGGTGTCTAGGATCAATTTACGACCACATCAATCAAATCTATACGAACTGAAAATACAAATCCAGTTTTAACAAAAGAGGGAAAAGGATCAAAGGCTGTGTGCAGTTTAGGCATCTCTTCTACCTTTTAAGAGAGGTTAGGGTTCATCAATGTCCTGTAAAAAGTAGAACGTACAAGTATATAAATTTCTTGTTAATAAAATAAAAAAATAATTTATTTATGACATTTGAAAATTTAATATTCCTACCACAATATATTCTCAGCAGGCTATACCATTAAAATAAATAAATAAAAACCCAACAAAATTTCTAGTCTAGAAAAAGTTAGGTTAGCTAGCTGCCCAATTTTCAGTCTTCTCAGAGTATGCAATGAACGAAAGCTACCCTTAAAAAATAATAATAATAAATAAATAAAAATCTTGGGATACAAATAGACAATTGGCAATAATGCAATCCCAATGGTACCAACTACCAATATTATATTCACACACACACATATGCTTTCACGTAAACGGCCTCCATGTAATATTCCTAATTTTAAAAGGATAATCCTGATATTTATTAGATTGTTTACATTGTATTTATTTTTGGTTAATTGTTTATTTGTTTAATTGTTGTTATTTGTTTTATTTATTTAACTGGCGATTTGCTTGTATTTGCATTATTTGAAATTGTTTATATTTGCATAAATTGTATTGAATTAATTATTAGATAATTGTTTAACTGATGTAATTTAGTTGTTTTAATTGAATTAAGTTAATTATATTTAAATTGTTTTAACGTGACTGTATGGAGGCATATATATATTTATATTAGGGTTTTAGTTACACGGATGTAGCCGACTTAGGGTTGGTTTTGTATTAAAATTAGGGTTATACTAAAGCCTATAAATACAGTATTATACGTTGGTTTAGGGTTACACAGAAAACTCTATTCATTGATACATATACCATGAGACAGAGAGATACAGAGAGTGAAAACTGGTAAGGTTGACGGAAAGGTTTAAGGATACACTGGACGGAGTGCTTCTGGATTGAACCAAGAGCACTTGAGATTTAGAACAGGAGTCTCGAACGTGGACAGAAGCTTCAGAGACAGTGGTTTAGAGTTTCAAAACTGAAACTCATGGCAAGTCTTGTTCTGCTCTATCTCTTTAATCAATGTTTCAATTTATGGAATTAAACCTGTTCTTGGTTATTTCAAAAAGATAGTAATAAAACTGTAACTTTGTAACCTTGCTCCGTTGTGTAGCAATTTGTTTTCAATTCAAGTTTTGATTGTATATCATTGTTTTATAATCAATCTGGAACTGGATTAGACCTTAAAACATGTATCAAAAGTTACTACAGAGAACTGGTACTCACAGGAATCGGAGAAGACAACGAAACGGATGGAGGCTGCTAAGGGAAAAGAGAGCAGGTTCTTAAAATCCCTTAGAGCCGGCTCCTAGAATGTTGGAGCCGGCTCTTGGCATTATGGAGCCGGCTCTAAAGAGCCTAGAGCCGGCTCTGAAGAAAAGAAGAGCAGGCTCTTTAATTTCTAGAGCCTGATCTCTCTTAAAACGTCTAGAAACTGTTTTTATGGTTCGTTTGGCTGAAATTGAATTTTCTGGAACTGTTTAAACCTACTGAATGTTGTAATTAAGTGTTTGAGACTTATAATAATGTTAAGAAGCAAGCTCACATTCAGCTATTGAGGATGGGAATTAATCCAAGATCAAATAGAGGACTCGTAGGTGGATAATTGAATATTTACATTAAACCGCTTACTGTTTTAGCAATTTGTTTTTCTGCATGATCTTAAATTATGAATCATGTTTTCAGCTGTGTTAAGAGCATATACTGTTTAAATATATGTGCTCTTAGATGAAATTAACTGATGTTTAAAATCTGTCATACAATGCATCAGTTATGGTACTATATGGAGAAGTAAATTGTATAATCTTAGTTTATCAATTTAAAGGATTGGAACTGGGATTCTAAAATTGTTATTGGATGAATAATTTAGTTATACACATATTAAACTGTAATTATGGAAATTTTGAAGTATGATTGATTAGCATCTGATACTGTTTTCATTAATTATGTTAACTGGAGGAGCTAAATGTACAGTCTTTTCATTTATATAAAGAACTGTAATGAGATATCTAAATGTTATATTGGATGCATAAATTGGTTGTGTACATACTAAACTATATTTATGCTTATTCTGGGATGTGGTTAATAAATAATTATACTGTGTTATTAACTACGTAAACTGGAGGATGGTATGTGCCGGTATGGGACGGTGTCATACTAGGTACGGATTAGTTCAGACACTAAGTCCTACCTAAATTTGGATTAAGGTATGGATTAATCATAAAGATTAAGTCCATCACCTACATGTGTCATATCAATTGTGAATTGAATGACCTACTATAGTTTCAGGATGGATTTGTTATATATATATCAGACAACTACACAGATGGATGATATTCTGTATTAGGAGGAGTACGGACTTTATATATCTATTATATGTGTCATGGTATGAGCTTGAGTCTCAGGACCATGGTTAGGGCGCGTATATCGCCTAGGATGGATAACTGGACATAGGTGTTGTTCCCTGGTAGGTCTAGGTACTCATGCCCACCTTCGGGTGCGTATTCACATGTTGCCTTCTATTCAGGCTGAGATGGATCTACTGGATTAGCTAGCGTCCTATAGTGTGTACTATATACATATATGGACTACTCTAGATATTGTTAAGTCTTCTTAGGATATATCTGCGTATCGGATTACTGCTTGGATTGTAGTAGATCAGGACTTGCATGTGGGCCTGACCCACTCCTTTATTTTTCAGGTGTTCGTCAGTTCCAGGGTTAGAACTTGAACATGCAAAGCAGATACAGATATTCATTCCTCCGACTATATAGGAATCTTCTTTATGTTAGTTTTAGATTTTATTTCTATTATTTCAGTTTCGGTTTGAGAATCTTTAATAAGGGGTCCAATAGATGGATTCCCGAGTTCTAAACCAATGGAGTTTGGATTTAACAGATTTCAATAATTATATTATTTTAAGGATTTTCAAGTAGCATTCTTTCAGCTTATTATTTTTATTTCTTATTTCATCTTGTATTCTGTATTCAATTACATATTGATTGTTTGATATTTCCCTCGGGTTTGGACTTGGACCTGATCAATCCGTGTCTCGGATCCGAGGGGTATCACATCTATTAATGTCTCTCTTACAAAATGTCAACACTTAGGAAATATCCATTTCCGGTTAATCATTTTTTTGGCACTTGAACATTTCATACTAAAATTGTATTTGTATGGATAAAATTGTAATCTCTGTTAAGAATTATTATTTTTTCAAACAAGCAGTCGTCCATTTCTTTTCCTTCCTTTCATATTGTTTCATACATAAGAGTAAGACCATATCATTTGTTCAGTGGAAACAAACCCAACCACGTGATTTAGTGGTTTCTTTCTTGAAACAATGATCACATCGATCTGTCATAAATTAATTAATGTCATACAATCACCAACAATATATATATATATATAATCTAATCAGAAGTTAGGCAACTGGTAACATGTCACCGATAATCTCTCAATGTAATTTGTACTTCTTAAAACTGCTTAGCTGTATCAGATTAAGTTATAATTCTTTTCATATTTAACATTAGTTGGTGCTTGTCTAGTCTAATAATGACGAGTCACCAGTATTAATCAGAGGACAAAAAAAGTTTTAAAAAGAAGGAAAAAGTACTCATCAACAATCATCATGCATCTTCTTAATTTTGTATCTTGTCTTATGAGAAATCAGACCGTTTACTGAAGGTACATTACAAAATAAAATAAAATAAAATAAATCATTTTTTTTTTTTTTTGAATGAATTAATTAGAAAGATCAACATGTCCCCATAATATTGATCCTTACACTCGAGCCTAGAAATCAAGTGTGTCACACTATGCAATTCAAAACAACCATTGTGTTATGAATCTCTCTATCTACAATGTTATTAATTTACAGTTGTATAACCAGTCTCTATGCTCTCTTAAATCTATGGTGCACCGGAGATCTCAACTCGTTTCTGATATTTTGGTGCAGAGCAGTTTCTGAATATATGGTTGTGGATTTCGGTGACTGAATCCGATGCCTATGTCCATGTTGCAGCTGCTGATTTCGGTGATGGTGGCCATTTTCTTTCTTGGAAACCTTTTGAGTAGCTTCACCTTCCTTAACATGTTCTTTCTGCGAATCATTATGATCAGTTGGAACTGTGTAAACAAATGGTCCTACTGGAACATCATCGTCAAAGTCCTTTAGAGGTTCCAAAGTCTTGACCACGTTAGTCATGATTGGTCTAAGCTTAGGCCGGTGGCTCAGGCACTGATAAGCCAATGCAGCTGCCTTCTGTGCCCCCAATTCCGAGTACTGCCCTTCGAGTCTAGGGTCCATTACCCTACTCAGCTTTCTGGAGTCCTTCAGTAGAGGCCTTGCCCACTCTGCTAGCTTTTGTTCTCTGTGTGGACGGCTCTTGTCCACCGATCTCCTTCCCGTTAGAAGCTCCAAGAGTACTACTCCGAAGCTATAAACATCACTTGCCGATGTCAAGTGACCTGCAAAATGAAATTTGTGAGATTCATATATCATCAATATGATACTTAATTTGCATCTCTAAATTTTGACATTGCTAGACCTTATAGTCTAACCGAGAGTTTATGCATTGGATGAGATTAAATTTCGACAATGCTCGACCTAATACTCTTCGAATTATATGTATATATAGGAATAAAACTATATAACCAAATTACCAGTCAGGATGTATTCAGGAGCAGCATAGCCATGAGTGCCCATAACTCGTGTGGACACGTGTGTGTGATCTCCTTCTGGACCATCCTTTGCTAGTCCAAAATCTGAGAGCTTGGCAGTGTAGTCCTGAAAATTAAGAAGATGAACAAGATTCAATAAAGGTAATGTTATGAAACCAAACTAAATATGTATATGGGACAAATTAAAGATTAATGGTAGCTTACGGAGTCTAGCAAGATGTTTGAAGCTTTGAAATCCCGAAATATAACAGGTTTTTGGGCTTCATGGAGGAAGGCAAGGCCCTTTGCAGCTCCAAGAGCAATTTTCATTCTGATGGACCATGGAAGTGATGCTGAATATCCTGTGCACCAGGAGAGAAGTAGACATTTAATCAAATAAAACTAAATTTATCGAAAAAAATATAAAAATAAGAAAAATAACCAAATCAATTAAAAAGTGACCGATATATATATTGGTGAAATGACATCCATCAAGACTCGCATGAATGTTTCTAATGATTGTTTTTTTCTTAGCATTGTTTATGGCCATCCATGTCATGAGGTTTGGTCATTAGGTGCTCTGAGCACTTAATATCGAAAATGAGAATTCATTTTCAAGTGTCATTTGAAGGCGGCGGAGGACATAAATTAAACTATCGAAAGTGTCCACCAAATTAAGTGCTGTCATATCTAATAATGATGTGTTAATTGCTAGCTAATACATGATTAGTTAACTCTTCAACTAGAGGTAAGTGCGATCTGTCTAATTAAGTAGGAATGCGTGCAATATAAAACCTACATCTAACAACAATTCTCATATATATATATATATATATATATGCAAACAGCAATGTCAACTATATATGGGAAAAAGTCAAGTCATCCGAGCTTGACCTTTTCTTTTTCTTGTCGATTGATGATATTTATGTAAATGGAGAACCAACCAAAAGTACCATTTTAAAATCAACAAATTGCCTGGATTGTATATTATGTTTTTGTATTCACACATTATGTTAAAGTGCAGTGAATGTTTCAAAATTGAACCATTTTCAAGAATATATATATATATATATATATATATATATGAACAGAAAACTGAATTAATGAAAATTAAAGAGAATCTTACTTCTAAATAATTGATTCTCTAAGCTGCCTCGCGGCATGTATTCGTATACCAATAGCCTGTGCTCTTCTTCACAACAATACCCAATCAGCTTCACAACATTTGAATGTCTCAATTGCCCAAGAAATATCACTTCTGTCTGTCCAAAGAGTAAACAAAATAAATAAATTGGATAAAACTACAGAATTAGTCATTAATCATGAAAAAATTAGGGAAAACATTATTAAGAAATCAAGGGTATTTAATTTGAGTAAATACGTACCAGCCACTCCCTATGACCTTGCATGCCATCCAAATCCAGTAGCTTGACAGCCACAGGCTGAGCCTTCAAACCAGGCCTAAGCTTGTCATCAATGAAGCCCTTGTGCACTGGTCCGAACCCGCCTTCACCAAGAAAGTTGGTGGGTGAGAAGCTCTGTGTGATCACTTTCAGCTCCGCCAGCATAAACACATGAAGATTTGATCCGGCTAAAGAGATGGAGAGGTCCCCAGAAAGCGTCGAAGAGCTAAAATCCGATAGAGAGAGCCTCTGAAATGAAGACTGTTTCGCCACCGCTCTCTTGGGGGGCTTGATCTCACTCTTGCAACAGCTCGGGAAGAAAGATTGCAATGAGATCATCTTCTTTACTGTCATTTTGTTGAATTTTCTCGAGTAAAAGCTTAAAAACTCTTCGATCTATTGTTGTTCTAAAGGGTTAAACAAATTTGACGAGAGATGAAGAAGAAAACTAGGAAATTGAAAGGGATGGAGGAGTTGTGAAAATGGAGAATGGTTTGGAGGACTTTAAATGGAGAGGTGAGAACCTAATATTCAAATGACCAACTGCTATTTCTTAGAGGGATAGAGAGAGGTGTCCAACACCTTCTTCATATCATGATATGGCAAGCTTTATATATATACATATATATACACACCGTGTTTGATGATATGTATACAACAGTTAATTCCTCCACCTCCGATAGTATATGCATATGCATATATAAGATGTGGGATGTCATAATATGAATATTATAGGTGGTCCTAAGTCTACAAATTTGGTTGAATGAAAAATGACTTAGCTACCCCCCATTGACTTTGATTTTTGTGGTTTTGGAATGATTTGTTAGCACAAGTTGCTTCCGGCCATACTTTTTAAAATATTTCATACGACTAAAAGACGAAAATTGGTTATCAAATTAATTTGACTAATTTGTTTCTGTATTGACAAATAGGATAAATAAATTATTTTTCTTGTTGGATGCCTCTGCAAGGAATGTTGATACATTTATTCGCATGATGATCTCATATGCATGGATGAATTTAAAAAGAATAAGTGGAATAATGCTGTCTTGAATATATTTAACTCTCTCTTTTTCGATTCTTTCTATTTAGATTGAGAATCACTTTTTTTTATTATTAAAATTATGTGTAATTTGCTTGCATTTTGATTTTGATTTTAATTTTTTATTTTATTTTATTTGACATATAAAGCCTAAGGCACTTAAACTCTTAACCTCTTTTTTTTTTTTTACTGAAAAACTATATAAAATAAAAAATACCACTAAAAGCTAAGGTTATACAATAATTAGAATCAGTGAATTCACTTCTAAATGCTCTTTATAGAGAGAGAAAATATGTATAAAAAAAAAAAAAAAATTACCCTTAAAAAATTAGATAAGATAGATAAAACTTTAAAATCCGAAGGCGGTTTGGCTAGTGATTTGGTAAGAGTGCAATTTCCTCTCACGACGACGATTTTGGTTTGTGAGTCTCCGTAACAACAAGGTAGGTCCGATTGCATAGTTGTATGGCTTCTAGAACCTAAACGTACCACATGAATAAACTACATAAGATGCCACTATATATATATATATATACATATATATAATGACATAAAAACCCTCCATGGACATGCATTCTTCTATCATCAGCCAAAGAAGCGTTTGATCATAGCATAGGTACCCCTGGTGGGACCATCCGACGGTGGGTGGGGCACGACAACAACATCTTGTTCTTGCCAATGAATTGAACCTGGACTCCATTGTCGGACCATTGTTGCATGCAGCTCTGGAAATCAAAGAAGGTTCCATTTCCATACCAAACATATCTGATTGAGAAAATCAGTGGGAGTTATTCTTCAGTGGCACCCACTGCAGACATGGTAGTAGGGATGGCAATGGGGCGGAGTTAGGATGGAGTTGGTTAAACCATATATTCTGCCGACTTCACCCCGCATATTCCGTTTAATTGCGATAAAGTTAAAACTATTGAATTAATTATTGGGCTTTGGATATAATACTAAGATCTTAAATCCTTGATTGATTCTTAAAGATTGAATCACGTGCACAATTGTGAAATTTTAGTAAGTAGTTATTCTAGTGAATATTTAATCAAAATATATTAATGGACACTTAAGTTAAATATATATATATATAATCGGGGTCGGGGCGGTGGCTGGGGGTAGGGGAGTCACTAAATCCGGCCCCCACCCCAAACCTGCTTCAAATTTTCAATTCTTTTACCATATATGGAGCTACAAATTTTGCCCCATTAAGAACTTAGCGGGTTGGAGAAAATTGTCACCCCTACATGGTAGGCTCAGGGGTTTTTCAATAAATTTCTCAAACATTTCACTAACAAATTAAATAATGATACAAAAATCTAGGGATTACTTGGTTTCATTTTTTTAGAGAATAGTTTTCTGTTTTTTTATTTTGAATTATTTTTTAAAATTTAAGTCAAGGAAAACAAAAAAATATAAATTTTTTGAAAAATACTTTTAAATTTTTTGAGAACTATAAGTCAGAAACCAAAAAATCATATTCTTTATACTTTATAATTAGACTTACAAACAGGGGCGGCTCGATATTTTTTGAAGCCTGAAACAAAATTTCAAAATTATGCCTTCTTATGTTTAATATATGAATATAATATTAATAATTTTTCTTCAAGGAAACTTAAAACAGTATTTGGATTTTTAATTTTAAAAATAGTAATTTAATTTTGTAAGCGATTAATGTGTGAGGTTTCAAAAGAAATATAATGACAATTATTGGCATGTGATAGAGATACTATTTTGTTTTGTAGACAATTGATGTACGTGTGAGAGGGTTCAAAATAAATATAATGTTAGAATAAAAAATATGGGACCTCTTTATTCAATTGAGGCCCAAGACGGCCGTCTCATTCGCCTTATAATTGAGCCGGGCTGCTTTCAAATTGATCACGTAATTACAACTATGTAAAATGTGATCATAAAAAGGACACAGAGAAGTAAAACGCTTTTCACAATGACTAGCTCTTTTCCACGCATGGGACAACACAAGTATCTTCTGTTCTCACTTTTCACTTTTCACTTTTCGCCTTAAAACAATGGATCTGGTTATTGCTTCAAATATATAACAAGTTAAAGAAATAAGGTACGCGTTGTTACGCACGTGATTGAAAAAAAATAAATAAATAAAAGCTCAATTGTTACAAAAAGAAAAAGTAGACCAAAATGGATAATATTAATCCACTAATTTTTTACTTTCAAATCCTTCAACCTTCATACGGGGAATACTAAAATGGTAGTGTATCTTTTCAATACCGCCCTTTATTGTCCTTCCTAGTAGGGTTAGAGAACTCTTTGAATCAAATTCCTTACTTTTTCTCATTCTCGGATTAAAATTTGATTACACATTCCTAATAAGTGAAATTTAGATTCCAAAGAAAAAAACGAGAACGATAAGCTTTGTGCACGAATGATTCAAAACGCAAAACATCTATAGGTTTGTTTTGAAAAATTTTATTTTAGGTTCAATTGCAATATAAATCTGACCGTGTGGTGAAATCTTTCAATATGATGGTTTACATAGACGAAATATTGTGAAGATGTTAGCAACAAAAGCTTCCGTTTGAGTTTGTCTTGGATTTCTTTTGTGGTTGTTTTGAATTAAATCACTTTCAGTAACATTTTTGCTAATTTGTTTTTGGTTGGAACTAAAATGGGTCTGATTAAATTCATATGGAATTCATACTACAAGATGATGAGAGTGTTCTAAATCATGAAATATGCATGAATCCAAAAAAAATCAAATACAGAGATGTGCTTTCAGTGGGAGTCCAAAGAAGGATGTGTGAGTTATAATAATGGGTGAATTTTACGTAGTCGTATCCTTATCAAGTAAGGATAATTATAATATAAAAAATATAAGAATCAACTATTATGTAATCTAAGGACATTTGGGTAATTTCATTTTAAAAGAAAACAAGAGTGACGGTCAGTATTAACTCCCTACTAAAATTATCATTTAAAAGATTTTCTTTTTTTCCTCTCAATTTTATTCATATTTTAAAGCCAAAACGTAAGATAAATTTCTTTTTTTTTTCCTTATCATTTCCTTTTCTTTCACCAAATTTCAATCAAGGAAAAAGAATACTCTAGCATTACTAAATAAACCGATAATTCTTAGTCTAATCTCAAGTGGAAACCGTGCAAGCCATGCCATCTTATTCATAATTGTGGGACCCAATTTGAGTCACACACATTTAATTCATATCCTTTCAGTGTTCTTAGACTAGGTTCGTCACTTCAGAAAAAACCATTTTTCATTAACAAAATTCTAATCACCATGTATAAAACTTTACGGAACTTTAAAGCTGTAAATATAATTGCAGACAAGTAGAGAGACCAAGCTGATGGTGTGGACCAAAGTTTTGTGACATTATATAAATGTGCTCTTCCTATTCTTCTTCTTCTTCTTCTTAATGGGGAACACTTCTGCAGGTAAACACGTTAGCTATCTCAATTATTTTCCAAATTGGCGGGATATTTACATTCTTGTCACTCTAGTTGTAGGTAGGTGGGCCCATTTTCTTCCAAAAGTCAATGGATGCTTTTGTCATTCGTTTTCAAATAACAATTACTCCGTATGACACTGTCAACTAAAGTCAGACCTGTTAACCCACAAATAGGAGTGAACTATATCTATATATATATATATATATATGCCGTATTAAAGAATATAATTATTTGATATTGTACAGATCTTTTGTCTTCACTCCGGTTTTAATAGCAGAAATACTTTAATTCTTAGTTAAATTAAAAAATAATCAGAACTTTTGTCATCGTTTCAATTGTGTGTGTGTGTGTGTGTGTGTATTTTGCACATTTGTATATATAGTCATTCTATTTGTCTTGTCCTTTGAACACGTTGGGCCGTTTGATAATTATTTATGTTTATAATTTATGATTTATATAAAAAGATTTAAAAAAATATACTTTTGTTAATATTATTTATGTCAAGTCAATTTTATAAATGTCAAAGAGTAGTTTTTTCTTTTAACATTTTTTTTTTTTTTTTTTGGCATGAAAAAATAAGTAAAACAAACATTATTCTTTTTATAATAGGTATCTTGAAATATAACTTAAGTAATGAGTATCTTTCGAAAAGATTTATTTATTTATTTATTGAAGTAATAATTTGTTACCTAAAAACCAATATAAGTAATAAATAATTAGATACTTCGTAGATACTTTTATTATTTGTTTAAAATTGGTGTTAAATTTTTAAAAAACAATTCAAGGTTAACAAACATATTTTTCAGTTTATTATTTTAAAAATAAGATGAATATTTTTATTTTATCAAATAATGTATCTGTTTATCAATAAATAAAAGATACACATAAACACTCATTATGTTTAAGTTTAAATGATAAACAATAAACAAAAACAATTGCGAGCCAAATTACTTTTATGCTCATTTGTTTGAGAGTAAAATATTTTTAAAAAATATTTTTTACGTTTTCTGTTGTTTAGTTATCGTAAAATATTTATGAAGGAAAAAAATATATTAAAACCCAACAAAAATAACTTATTTATTAATTTTTGCCAAACTATTTTACCCGTTCCACCCAATGAACTCGACTTCAACCTCGATTTAAATTTTTGTCAAACACAAAAAATAAATAAATATATATATATTATCTGAA